ATTCCGTTCAGTGAACTAGCTGACATAAACAAAGAGCCACACCTGGGAGGTAACCACCTTTGCAAATAACTGTATTTACATTCCCCTGGGTCCAGCAAGAGTGGCTGTTGTACAGTTATGTCATGACTCCCCACTGATGGGTACACTTTGGGTGCTCTAAAGCCAAGTGTCCTTCTTCTGCTAGCCTCAAATGTGCCTGTGACAATCTGTACCCCTGTGTATCAAGACTATGATAAAATGTGTACAAAGTGTGGCTTGTGAGGTATCATTTGAAAACTCATAATTTGCTGATCATTATTGTCCTGGTAACCAATATATGTGCAGCAACATTGTATGTAAAAATATAAAATTCTACGGTATAACATTACTGAGACATGTTCCCGGTTTAGAAAAGCAGCCACAAACCAGTTCCTCGGAAACAATAGGCAAACTGATGCCTCAGCCAGATGACAATGAAACCAAATGAACAATCACCTGGTTAAGTGGCAGGAAAAAGGGTGTGAGTGAAAAATTTACATCTTGGCAAAGAAACAGCTTCCCACAGACTTCTTGTCTCCTAAACCCCAGCTGGAGATGATTCTCAAAGAAGAAGAAAAGTATAAGAATGGGGAACAGATGACCCAAGTTATCCCTCCTTTTTTTTCTCTACCCTTGGCAGCCGCAACACCTGAGGAACAAAGAAATAGCTTTGGACTGAGGGAGGGATCCTATCTGAAAGGATTTCAGCCAGTAAGACTGCTGATGAATGGGGTGAGAGAGACTTTTGCTTTGAATTTACTTAGCTGCTTGTTAGGTATTAGTTGCATTTTACCTTTTATTTCTTTGTAACCGATTTTGACTTTTATGCCTCATTACTTGTAATCGCTTAAAATCTATTTGTCTATAGTCAATAAACTTGTTTTATTGTTTTATCTAAACCAGTGTGTTTGGATGGAAGTGTTTGGGAAAATCCATTTGAGATAACAGAATTTGTGTATCATTTTCTATTAATAAAAGATGTACTTTATGTGAGCTTGTTTTTTCCAGGAGAGGGCTGGGCAGTTCAAGAAACACATTTCTGGGGGAAAATCTGGGACTGGGAATTTGCTGTTGTGGTTCTGCAGTGTAATTCAAGAGTGGTTGGCCATAGCATTCATACTGTATAGCTGGGAGCAATTTACATGCTGGAGGCAGAATGTGAGCAGACCAGGAGTGGTTACTCTCACAGCGAAGCAGTGAGAAAGGCACCCTAGGGTGGAGAATTGAGAGGACACAGCTGTTCAACAGTCCAAACTGTATCCTGGGTAATGTCACAGGGCCCCTCAATGCAGGCATTCACTGCTTCCTGCGATGTATGCACCTCTGTCAAGGAACTAAACCATGAACCCTGCAACTTTCTCCAACCTCTGGAAACCCCATCCTGACCCCAAACAGCCATTGCCTTAGTTTTCATCATGGAATTACCAGATTTGGATTGTGGTAGACCACTTCACCAAGATGGCCCACTTAATTCCTTGCACCGGTCCACTCTTTACTGCAGAAACTGCCCAGCTATGGATAAACCACATAGTCAATCTCCATGCCCTCCCTGATCATGTTACCTCCGATCAAGGGCCACAATTCACTTCCTGGTTCTAGCATGAAACTATGTTACTGAGGATACATACATACCACACCTCCACTTACCATCCCAGTTGAACAGCCAGAGAAGATGAATTAGATCCTTGAACAGTATCTGCAATGCTATGTCAATTATCACCAGGATGATTGGTCCTCCCTTAGTCTATGTTGAGTTTGCATGTAATAATGCAGACCAGGCATCCACGGACCCAAGCCCCCCACCCTTTTTTTTGCGCTGACTCTGGGTACAACCCTGAATTTCACCGAAGCTACCCTTGACCTCCTCTAACCTGACCACCTCAGATCAGTACAATGGATCCATGAAATCCAGGAGGAAGTGAGGAACACCTCGAAAAAATGAAAGACTATTAATGGCACATAGATCAGCCTCATTAGCAGAGCCCTACCTGTTCAGTGAGACAAAAGTAGGGCTCTCGACAGAGAACCTTCGTATGGACAGACTCTCTAGTAAGTTTGACTAGCAATTCCTTGGCCCCTATCAAATCTGGCAACAAATTAACCTGGTTCCCGTCAAGCTCCACCTACCTCGATCCCTTAGAATCCACCTGGTGTTCTATGTATCACTCCTAAAACCATTCTCAGAGAATTCATTTCCCCACAGGACCCCGCCCACCAGTGCATATACAGGGCAAGAAGAATACACCATTCACAAAGTCTTAGATGCCAAACTTAAATGAGATAGGCTCTAGTATCTAATTGACTGAGAGGGCTATGGCCTTGATAGGTGGACCTGGAGCCAGCAGAAAATGTTCATGCCCCAACCTAGGTATGAGCCTTCTACAGGAGACACCTTGAGAAACCTGGAACAATGTTGCCCAGTGGATGTGTCTAGGGCATAGGGTGGTGTCACGACCCAGGAGTCTCAAACCTGGGTCTGCAGGGTTCCTGGCAGGGGGGACATCATGCTCCAATCTTCCACTTGATGCTTGCTGGCATCAGCTAGAACTGGGACTCCTTGAAGCCCAGTTTAGATAGAAGGCTCCAGCCCTGGGTCCTAACTGGTGGAACACCGGCGCACCAGATTGACTAGCTCCGCCTACTTAAGCAGGAAGGAGGAAGAGGAAGCTGTCCATACAACTGGGCTCCACCCTGCTTCATAATGCTCACCCAACTGTTGTATCCTGACACTGACCTCCTGGTTTCTTAAATTGCCCTTCATGGTAACTGACACTCAGCTCCTGACCTCCTGGTTTTGAACCCCAGCTGGCATGGGGATCTGGCCCCCAGCCTACTCTAACCACTAGGCCCAACCACCTATATTTCTGCCCTGACAGTCTGACAGAAAGACACCATTAGTTTATACCATTTGTAATTTTTAAAATTCTTTCTTTCTTTTTTTCTGTTTGGGATGGATTATTGGGTGGCACCTTTTAGGCCTCATCCTGATGATGGGGAGAAGCTGAGATTGGGGGTGCTGTTATGAGCGGGGTTAAACCTTGTTATGTCTTTAGTTAAAAACTCATTGAAATTGATGTGTAAATGTGCCCTGCGCTTAAGGTAGTTGTGAGACAGCTAAAGGGCTACTTCTAAAACAAGACGTGACAGAGTGCAGAGTGCAAACAGGTGAGCCTGCACTCTGATCACTCAGATATTAATTAGTTCCCCTGGGGAAAACTGATGGGGGGAATTAGTTAATCGGCTGGCCAGCTGAGCCAATTACCCCACCAGCCCAAGGCTGATAAGAAGAAGCACAGGAAGGAAGTGTAAAGGGGGGAGAGGGAGGAACAGGGTTAGCCGAGCTTAGCCACACAGAGGTTCAGAGTAGGGAAACTTCTGTTCCCCTCAGGCCCTGATGAGAGGGCCAAAAGCTACGTTAGCACTGTAAATAGACTGTTGCATGGGGATGGTTGTGAAAAAGGTGGAGGGAACTTTTAAAATAAAAAGATATGGTGAAGGCACAACCACTGGAGTCTGTGCAGTTTCTGTGGGGAGAAGGTGGGAGAGGAGCCACATTCCATGAGACAAGGCCTAACAGAGCACCCAGGAGTTTTGGATTATGTGGGCAGAGGGGCTTTTTGCTGAGTATTGTTTTGTGTGTACGTGCGCACAGGCAGAAAAGAAGAACACACAGAAACTGAAGATAGGCGAGAACAGAGAGAGGGACAGAGGCAAAAAGCAAGAAAGCCAAGGGGCAACAGTCTAAATACAGTTTTGAGCAAGAGGGGGTTCTGTGCGCATCTCTTGGCCCTGCACCCATCCCACACACTCTCTACCTCCTTCCTCAGCACAGACTACAGAGAGGCCTCTATAAGGTCCATGGGGGGTGTAAGAGACCATGCCAGAAATATGTCTGAGCTTCTTTTGTAGAGAAGAGGGGAGATCTACATAGAGAGGGTCTATGTACAGTTCTGTGGGCACAGGCTGACCAAATAATAGAGAACATGTGAATAGGGAGGCTTATATTGATAGAAATAAGAAATGGGTTCCTAAGAAGGGCACAGATTCTACTCCCAGGGGAGCCTACACCTTTTGCATTGAACACAAGCTTCCCTATTTACATCGTCCCAGAAAATGTTTAAAGGGTGAGATTCAAGGTTACTTTATAATCCAAACCTCTGACAACATCATTCAGCTATCAGCCATAAAGCACAAGAAATGACCGTGCTTCCCAAATATTATAAAATAAGAGGACACTGGCAACCAAGGAGTCAACAATGATGGGACAGTGAAGGCCTCCTGCAGCACACTCTGTTGGTTGCTGAGAAGAGCCTCCGTCAGAGTTTTTCTTGTTCTGAATGTGTTCCCCACACTTTAGAAGGCCAGTACCAACCCAAAATCTGTAGCCACAAAAGAGAACTATTGTAGTCCGGAGCTGGATTGACTCCCAGTTGTTTCTAAGCCATAAATGGGAGGATTGAAGGTCTTAAGAATTGGGAGTTGTAAAGTCAAGTGGTAGAAAGTATATTTGCATGAACTTTCCTCCCCATCAGCTATCTATTAGTCTACTGTAGGGATGATTTGTTTAGGGGTTTATTTTGGCTTCCATGAGAGGCTCTTCTTGCTGTCAAATCATCCAACCTACTATGGAGATAGGATCTGTGCACCTCTGGGAACGGCCTCTTTGAAGAATACAACTATTGTGTTGAGTAAGGCCCACTCAAAGGGCTTGTGAAGTCAGTAGTCATCCATCTTAGGGTTTTGCACTAGTGCCTGTTACAATAGTACTTGAGTGCTTCCCACATAAATTATTCTGGCAAAGTGACGTCTCTAATGAAATTAGGCACTCTTGAAAATCCTACCTATGTGATTTAGGAGCACAAGTCTCATTGACTTTCAGTGGGACTTGTGCTCCTAAGACACTTAAGTGCTTTTGAAAGTCCTACTTTTGGTGAATAGTGTCTTTATCTTTCAGAACTACAGGAAAATGTAAATATACTTACTTTAGAGCTTGCTGTGAGGCAATGACGTATTCTGAACAGCCAGTCCTGTACAGAACTTGAGTATTAGCTTGTACCCAGACCCAATGATCTTCATTTGTTAGTACTTTGAATAGAGAAATGCCATTTTCTCCATTGTTTGCTATAAAAATTAAAAGAAAATACATTCTAGTGCAAACAATTTTAATATTAGTTTTATATAACCTAATAAACTACTGGACACTCGCAAATATGCTTGGTATCTGTTATACAGAAAAGTGCAAGTCAAAATGTGTTATGGTTAAGATTAACTAGGCAAATTACAGGCAAGAATGCACACTGGGAAAAAAGATTACATATTCAATTTGCAAACACTTAAACTGTAATCACGGAGATTTTGCAGTATCGTCAGTTCAGTACAGATTTTGCCTGTCTAATAATAAAAGATTCAAGAGAAACTAGACAGTGATAGTGGCTGTGATAGAGAACTTGTATTAAAGCAAGTTTGACTTCAAGGTTTCAAGCCTGTACAAAAAAGAAGTTAATAGAGTTATCTGTATAGGGGAGAGGGAGAAGGGAAGGCTTGAGGAGAAATAACTATCAAAAGTCAGCAAAGAGGATTACTAAATTCTTACATGTTATATTAAACATCCTGCCAACTGGTAAAAGACAGCTACAGCAGATCATAGATTCTCACAGTAGTGTAAGTCCCAAGCATTCAGAAATCATGAGTCAGGTTACCAAAAAACAAACAGACAACCAAAAACATAAAAAACCCAATACATTTTCATTGCTTTTTATTTGCTGTCTGGTTTTGCACCTTTAGGGTACACTCACATCATGTTTTCAAGCTTTTTGCTTCAACCATGAGAAACCCCCCTTTGTTCTTAATGAATGCTAAGACTTTTCACGTTGTGGTGGGGCAGATCCCAACCCCACTCAGGAGAGGGTTAAAGAGCTCCTCTGGGCACAATCAGCCTCAACCCGGCCACCTGTAAGGAATGTCAAGCCTGGAGAGGGGTGGGGCCTTAAAAGGGAGACTCCCTGCTCAGTGCAGCCTGTGTGGCACTCTGAAGGAGCAGGACTGCATCCCAGAGCTCTCCAGGCTCTGGAAGAAGGGGTTACTGATAGGGAAACTACTTGAGAGCCTTGGCCGACCAGCCCCCCTCAGAAAGGAGAAGGGCTGATACCTTTCTCTTCAGCTTCCCAAAGGCCTTTTTGTGACTTTTTGTTTGGACTACTTTAACCTTCCCCACACAAGGGGGGGGGCTGACACCTCAGCTAGCACAGCTGGAGGGCTGTGCCCCAGCAGCTGAGGCAGGAGCAATGCCCACCTTTTCCCTAGGGAGCACTAGAGAGCTATAGCCTACTATACCTGTAATCACATGAATCTGGGGGCTGGAGCTTTAAGAAAACACACTTAATATCACAAGCCTGGTGATAAAATTGCGAGAACTGGTAACATTGTATTTCTAGGCAGCTAGAGAATGGCTAGACTATGGTGTCAATACTATCTCATATTTGATTAATCTACATCACAATAGCAGACAATAGAAAAATGGGAAATTGGAACTAAAATATAGAAAACTTAAATGGGGGGGGGGAGCAGGAAGATTGTCTCCATAAACTGTCAGTAATGCAGAATTATTACAACCTGATACCTTTGATCTGGTTTTCAGCATTTTGTAACACATTAGTGAAAGCTGCACCTTCATGGTAACTGGTTCTTCCTTGTAATTCTGTTTCACATAGACCTGAAATAGCTTTTGAACTGCAGAGGACAGACAATGTGAAAATATTTGGTCAGTGAATGACAATACAGCTAAGGGCAAACATACACAACTGTGTAAGACATGACTTTCAAACTAGCAAACATGTACTAAGTAGTTATGGTTTGAATGTGTGATAATGAAAGTTAAATGTTTGCCAGTAATTGCTGGATCATATGAATTCCCAATCCAGTGTGGGAATGGAATACTGTACATACTGTAAAGAAAATTTATTAAAATTAAATTATTATTAAATTTATTATTATTCGGCTCAGTACTTATTTCCTGGAATAACAACATTTAGATTGGATTGAAATAAACAGTAATGTTTTCATTCAATTCTATTCCACTAGATTCTTATACAACCAAGGCATCTGAATGTTAGCATTAAAGATAAATGCTAGCAAATGGGCATTGTAGCAAGAATCATCACATAGTTTAGATTTATAATCAGTCACAGTCTTTATTTTTAAATGTATTTTGGAGCTTGTGAATCATGCCAAACTGACTTCACTGGATTCTAAGGTGATGTCCTCACAGCACAGTTAACTTGGGCTGTTACCTGGGTATTAGCCAACCCCCTCCCCCATCCACACAGAAAAACCTTTAACATAGGTTTGGAGATGCGTTAAGCCTAATTTACTTGGCTGGCGGTACAGGTTAGAGCCCAGGTTCTGCTTTACCTTGACGGGAAACCTGCCCACTTTGCAATGAAGACACAGGTAAAAGTCACTTGAGTACTGATAGTCCTCCAGTGCCTTCCCACAATTCCCCCTGAAGGACAGGTGAGTTCTCCCAAAGTTGACACAATTGACTGGGAAAGAATCCTAGACGGGGTTCTCAAACAAATTTTTAGGTGGCCTCAGAGTGCGGCCATCAACTCTTGCATGTGGCCGCTCTGACACTTTTTCCTAAAATACTTAATTAACTTTAGGAAAAACATATAAATATGCACATACACATGTCCAAATCATTATTTTTATGTAGAATTTTTTTTGCAGACTCTATAATAAAAATTATGTTCAGTTGTCTCTATTCTTTACTGGACCTAAACAGAATAGAAACACAAATAAGGTGCTTTGAACATTCTTGTCTTTTTTCTTGTTGTTTCTTTTGCTTTTTTGGTTGCTTTAAGACTTGGTAGCTACTAAGTCTGCTGTGAAAAGTGATATTAACAAACATACAAATATCACTTTTCACAGCAGACTTACTCAGCTCCAGAAAGCCGAGGGACAAATTAAACCCTAGGTGGGGAGGTGGGGATGGAGGCAGTGGGACCCAGAGGCAATAGGACACTGGGCGAGGCAGCAAGGGTTAGGGGTAATGGGGGGTGTGGTGATCTTGGGGCCAGAGCCTGCAACCACACAGCCAGGGAATGGAGCCTAAAACCCTATGTGCAGGGGACAGGGCCTGGGGACTGAGCCTGAAGTCCCATGGCTGGAACCTGCCACCCACCACCCCAGGGCTGAAGCCTGACCCCACCAACCCCAGAAAGGTGGGGAACTCACACTGGTTGTCTGTTCCTCCAGCTTTTGTGTCTCCAGAGGGGGGTAGGGTCCAACCACTGCTGGTGGCCACAGGGGAGGGGCCGCTGCTTCCCCCCTCCCCCATCACCACCTAGGAGGCTGTGGCCGCAAGAAAAGCTCCTAGTGGCCACGTGCAGCCACAGTGGCTGCATTTGAGAAACGCATCACAAAGAACCATGGACTATGTCCCAAACACACAACATGAGTACAAGAAGAATAAGGACACAGTAATATGAGTAGTGCTTCGCAGTAGGGTTGCTCAGACCCAGGCCAGGCTAACCTAGGTCCCAATCTCCCAGGTTAACTGTGCATGAAGACATACTCTACCGTTCTTTTTTTATTAACTGAAAAGGTAGGACATGGACATTGGCTGTGTAAGCGCCCTCACATTGCCATGCCAATGTGCCTCAACCCGGGACTTCAGGGACCCTAGAGGTGAAAGGATAGTTCACTCTGCATACCTATTACATCCTTTGCTGAGACTGCCAATAATGCTTGTGCTATAAACAATTCTCTAATGGGAACTGGCCTGAGATCACCAACTCATTTCACAGAGTTCACTGAAAAGCTGGCAAGTGGTAGTGACTTCTGATCACCACTGACCTGAGCTATATTCCAACTGTTGACCTAGAGATCAACTATTTCATATACCTTTATCACCTTTAACTTTTCAGCAATTCCACTGCCTTGTCAAAATGACATCAAGTGATTAACTTGCCAGAAATATAACATATGGGTATATAGTACACATACAGCACACACAAAAACAATGCTAAGAGCCAGATTCTGATAGTTGTGTGCATACTGAACAACAGTACCATATTCCACAAGTCGTCTGTCGTCAGTGGAACTACTCATGGTATATGGTACTATTCAGAGCAAGTTACAGAACGTAATCTAAACACTTTTGTAAGGTAACTCCCTTCTCTTCATGTGCCAATATATATTTATGCCTGTATCTGTAATTTTCACTCCATGCATCTGAAGAAGTGGGTTTTTTACCCACGAAAGCTTATGCCCAAATAAATCTGTTAGTCTTTAAGGTGCTACCAGACTCCTTCTTGTTTTAATCTAAACATTAAATCTGAGATTTTATCACAAAAGAGGCAGGAAATTTACCAAGGAGCAAACACCGGACATACTGTGTCCCGGGCTACACTGACTGCTGGATTATGTTCCGCCCTAGGTCAGCTAGCACAATTGTTGACATATGTGTTCATACACAAGTATGGCACCATTTTACAGTGTAGATCATGTCTGCCTTTCCCTCACATGCATCCAGATGCACATACAGACACATTTAATGTCTAAATGTTCCCCTTTCCTCAGTTTGCTACTGAGGTTTGCCCATGGGGTCATTCTTTAAACTGTAGCCATGCTACACACTGTGGCAAGTTGAGAACTCCCTCCAAATGAATGGATATATTTTTATTTGCCACTTTTACATCTAACACAACTATTTATTATGTTGATATATTTTGAATAATAGCAAGGAAAGAACAAAAATATTGAAAGAAGCTAGACATCGTTATTAAGATTGAGAGCTTTTAAACAGAGGGATATTTAGAATAAGCTGTGCTTTTTACACGTTTAATAAATATATATCCCGAGTAAGTAATGATAAATACTAAAAGGTTCATTTGAAAATACTTTGTATCCATTGTGGATGCATCATCAGCTTTGTGTTTTGCTTTCACAAACAGACTTTTCATCTTCAGTTCTGTCATAGAAGGGAGCAGAAGTGGTGCCACTATGCAGAATAAGGACAGCTGAGGTGGTAATATTGTTCCTGAAGAGGACTTCTTCTTTTGTCCAAAGAGAAACTTCAGTTTACCTTGAAACTGCATTGTCTGTTATGTAAAGAAACAGAATAAAATTATCGTAAGCATTCAATGTATAAAACACTTAAATGGTAATATGATCTATAGACCATAATGTTCAAATAATATTGAACATATTCATGTTCTATCAGTTCTAACACATGCAGATAAACCCTTAGTATGTATTTCATTATCTTTATTATGTTTAATGTGTGGCTGTCCAAATCAATTTCTGAAACATGGAAAGGGGAGATAATACTGATTAGAATAGAGACTTTTAAACTAGCCTTTCCCCCTCCTGTTGCTGGAGTAGAAGTTCTGTATCATGTTCCATTAGCCAAGTCTATCAGCTTATGATGGCAAAAGTAACAGTTTCCTGTATGCCTCAGTCTGGAGCTGGAACTGGGTTTTTTTCCCATGCTCTGATCTCTCCAGGATGAAAATTCCTGAGTTTCCTTCCTCTCTCCCCCATGCCCTTGTGAAATAATTGTGTGTATTCTCTGGGAGGTACATGGCTGGGGCAAAATGCAGAGGAACCGTGCAGAGACGCAGATGGGAGGGAAGGCGTAGCTGGGAGATAGGCTCAAAATGTCAGGATACTTTGTATGGGGCAGGAAGGGAACCTTCAGTCCCTGTCTGAAGACCTTAACCCTCCACTGTACCCAAAATCAGATGTCAGGGATGGGGGGAGGTTGGGAGTTTCAGTCTGAGACTAGCTCCTTCTGCACAGTTCTGTCCTAGAGCAGGGTGCTAAGCAAAGATCAACACTGCTGCTGAGATTTGAGAAGAAAGAGTCTTGAGGGACAGACCACTGTATCTCAGGGCTTCTTCACCAGACTGGCACATATTGCAGTTCCACCTCTTTCCCTCAGCTGACATGGTCAGAGAGCAGCGCAAAGGTTCAGGGAGGCATTCACCTCATTGCTCTGCCAGCTACTGCTAATGGCTTGACAGTGCAACCAACAGAGCCAGGAGGGACCACATGACATGATTGCCTCCAAGGTGCATGAGAAACTCCTGAGATGGGAACCTGAGCTTTCTTAGTATTATCCCTTTCCTGGTGCATCAACTTTCACCCCCTCACCTCTCCCATTTATCTATCTCTCTTTTTATCTTCTGACTGTAAGAGCTCAGCCAACAGGACAATTCTAACCTTGCAATGCTTAGCCTGCCAAGTTGCTCACAGCTAACAGCTGTTACAAGCAGCCTGATCTCAGTAGAAGTTTGCCTACCAGAGGAAAATACAAGCACTCCAGCCAAATGTTTTCCAGAGCTACAGGAGTAATGCCTGGACCCAGAAGTAGCTAACTGGGTCATATACAGGAACTCCTCATTTAAGGTTGTAGTTATGTTCCTGAAAAATGCGATTTTAAGCGAAACGATGTTAAGCGAATCCAATTTCCCCATAAGAATTAATGTAAATGAGGGGGTTAGGTTCCAGGGAAATTTTTTTCACCAGACAAAAGACTTATATACACACACGCAGTATAAGTTTTAAACAAACAATTTAATACTGGTACACAGTGATGATGATTGTGAAGCTTGGTTGAGGTGGAGGGGTCAGAGGGTGGGATATTTCCCAGGGAATGCCTTACTGCTAAATGAACTAGCAATTTACTGAGCCCTGAAGGGTTAACTCTCACAACATTCTACAAGGCAGCAGGAAAGGAGGGAGGGCAGACAGAGACACACACCCTGTGTGTGAGAGAAAAAATGCGCATTTCCCCTTTAAGTAGCTGACCCCAGGCTCAAGTACACTGCCTTGTTAATTAAATCAGCTTGCTGAGACCTGAGAGGGCAGCTACTGCCTAGAAGCTCCCTCCCTCCATCGTGTGTCCCCCCTGCTCTATGGAAGATGGGGTAAGTGGGGTGCAGGAGCAGGGGGGAGGGGGAGAAACCCTGACATTAGCCCCACTTCCCCCCCCCCCCATACAGCAAGCAGGAGTCTCTGGGAGCAGCTCCAAGACAGAGGGCAGGAGCAGCACATGGCAGTGGGGGGAGGGACAGCTGCTGCACAGGGAACTTAGGGGAGTGGGGAGCTGATAGGGGGAGCTGATAGGGGGCTGCTGGTCCACCCTGGTTCCAACCACCCACCAGCTAGCTGCAACGGGCTGCTCTTCCTGCAAGCAGTGGACAAAACAGGCGGCTGCCAAACGACATTAGAAGGGAGCATTTCACAACTTTAAACGAGCATGTTCCCTAATTGATCAGCAACTTAACATCGAAACAACGTTAACCGGGACGACTTTAAAGTGAGGAGTTCCTGTACTATGCCCATGGCCTTGCAGCAAGTGAACCACAAGCATCCAAGACAGAATCTGTATTTTCCTATCTCTTGCTATTTTTCTCTCCCTGTCTTTTTGTGTGTCTTGTTCTACCTTAAGAAGAAACAGGATTGGACTTTAATAACAGACTCTGGAAGTTATCACCTACAACTGACTCTCTTCTCTTCAACAAAGTTATTTGAGACTTTCAAATATGGGTTTTCCCTTTAAAAGGCTCTATACAAAATGAGAGCGGGAGAATATTTATTATTATTATTATTATTATTGTTGTTGTTTAACATTTATATTGTGGTACCATCTCAAGGCCACAGCCAGGTTGACCCCATTGTGCCAGGCACTGTACAAATGTATAATAGAGGACAGTCTCTGCCCCAAAGACTATACAATCTAAAAGTTGATCCTTTGAATTTTAAATATTATCACTTGTTTTTTCTTTCTTTACCTTGTGTATGTACTTAATAAATGTCCCACCCCCGCCAAAGTTCTTTGTTTAGTGTACAACAAATGAAACGATGCCTCTGGCAACAGACACATACACCTAAAATGACATCCTGAAAACTCTACCAGTCCTCACAACTGTGTATATTCTGGATTGTGTTTTAGTGCTGAGTTTTTAGAGCTTGGAGTAGGGAGGATTAAACCCATCAAAGGAAGTCTATAGCTTACTTCAGCAGCCACCAGGATAGTGCATAAAGAGAGAAGGTCTCCTCCTTCAATGTCAACACTCAGGCCCTTAGACTTTATTCACTTCTTCTCAGCTGACTCTAGATCAGAGACCACGTGGTTCAAGCACTGTGATAAACTGAGTCACATTGCTCTTGCCTAAAAAAGCTGAGTGTTTGATTATCTTATGTAAGGAACCTAAGGAAGAGGTTTCTACAGGGAAGGTGCATTTGGCGGGGAAGGTTAGATGGAAACATTCACCTTATAGTTAGCAAAGAACTTGTCTATCTAATGAGTTAAAACATACTTTTATGTATTAGCACTGAGCACCACCGGGTTAAGGACAAACATTTGCTCCCATATTGGGGAGAAGGTGCTGGAAATTACAGGTCTCATAATAAGATGGGGACTCAAACTCTGCTCTGGTTCAGTGTCCTGAGCAGGGAAATCCCTTGTGTTTGGCGGTCCTTCTCTCCAGAGGCAAAGCCATAGGTGACTTTAGAGACTAGATACAAGTGTGTGTGGAATGAAGGGAGGAGCTGAAGAAGGTGACTGAAGAGCCTTCTGGGTCAGGAAGGGAGTATCTGGAGGGAACAGCATGCTCTGAGGATGTAGAACAGAAAGCGGAGAAGAGAATGCAGGGCCTGTTTCAAGTAAGCCAGATAGGAATCTCATGAGTCAACACTAGGGAACACAACTGAAGATTCAGACTGCCATGAAAAAATATCATTTGGTGTGAGAGGTGCTGTAACCCAGGAGGAAGACTTAGAGGAGAAGGAGAGTGTTTGCCTGTAAATGGAGGGAATGGTGAGAGCAGGAGAAGAGTTTCACAGACACCCTTTATAAACTGATAGACGAGTGACAGAAAAAGTGTCAGTCAGTGGTAGGAAAATGAAGGTTCTGGTGAGGGTGAGTTTGTTGTAGGGGAAGGAGAAATTGCCGTGGAACCCCCAAATCCCATCAATTTTTGTGATGCCTTTCCTGGGAGGGATTTTCCTGTTATGGTTCAGACCGAGGGGGTAAGGGGGTGCTGCAAACAGGGTTATTCTGCCCACCTTGCCTGAAACTTTGAGCCCAGTGCTCAGGGAAATCTTGGACCACAGCCTTTTCTCTACAGAGTTCTTCTTAGCTGATCATTTTAATCCTCATCTTTCATCTTAATTTCCCCTTTGTTTGGGAGATGAAAGGGGAAAATGGAGGCTTCTAGGCTGGTGTACAAAAAGACTGAGCAGAATGGTCACTTTTTGCCTCTTTAATTTTTGCTAGGTAGAGACATTGGTCATGATGTTTATGTTTGTGGGATGGAGGAAGAGAAGACATATGAGGTTAGGATTTTTAAACTGAATATAAATATAGAAAAGTATTATTCAAGTAGTAGTATGTATGGAAATATACTATGGATTTCCTAAAGAATTACAGATCAAGTATCTTAAGGATGCCCAATACTTACTTGTGTTCTTTTCTTATATAAAGTTCTAGTCAGCTGCATACTGGAACAATGACAAAAATTTCATACTTTATAACTGAGTGTTTACAGTGTCCTAAAATAGGAGTTGTAAATAGGAGTTAGTACTGATAGATCCTAAACCACAGCAGTGCTACCTGTGCATTTACTAATAAAGATTGTCATTTGGGACAGTTCCAATGATGCAAAATCATAAGTAAAAACATTCAACTAATTAAAAAAAGTCAAAAAATTGTATTTCCATATCAGTGCATGCAATTCATACAATCATGTTTAAATATCTTTAAGAGGTCATTTAAATTTGTGCTACTCAGCCACAGCTTGTTTCACACAATTATACTTACAAGGAAACCGGAAGTACTGTCCAACAGGCAGCGGACTCGACAGATGAAACAACGAGTTAAAAAGGAAGAATAATCTGTTGGCATGCTGTCACACTCTTGTGCCTTAAACAACTTACTGAGAATGTATTCTTCTCCTACAAACAATGTGGGTAAGATAGGTCAGATTATATGAACTCAGAATGAAAATTCTGTTTACATATTTGAACACATAGTTAAAGAAATTGCTAAAAAGAATATTTTGTAGTGAATATTCAATCATGAATATTAATATCTGCTAGGAGTACGTCACAAAACAACAGCTGTGCAATAAGCTTAAGTTAATTTGCCTGGGGGAACATAAACTTTCACATTTTGTGACTTTTTGTGATTTTTCACTCAGCAAAATTAATCTTACATTAACATAGAAGAGGTCTTTCCTTTTGGTTTGCTAGACTTTGCAAAGAAAAAGAGACACAAAAAGGAAGACCATTAGGAGAAAATGCTAATTGGCACTGCTAACAGGCACCAGTCACCCAAAGATCAGCTCGTGCCTCCTGAGTTCTTTCGTAAAGCATGCAGTAGTTATGGGCACCAGTGCATAGTTTTTGCAGTATGCATTTCTCAAAAGAAACACGAGTACTTCTCTGGAAGTGTGAACTCTGAGACTCAGTGAAATTCTTTACTGTACATATCTAGAACAAAATTTCAAAGTGTTCATCACTGCTAATTTCCAAACAATGCTGTTCAAATTTAATTAATATCTGCACACTGTTTTTACAGTTTGTTAAATGCCTAGTGCATTTTGTTCCATTGAGAGGTATTTATTTCTTCTGTAAAGAAGGGACCACATTTTACAAAGTTCTCCAAAGACTGCAAGAGCTCCTGCGGAAACCATAAGCCTCATGGGGACTGCTTTTGAAGTTACAAGTCCTGCATAAATTCTCTGAGTTTAAAAGCCAGCCATGGACTCCTGCTTCACGGTGCTGCTTGCAAGTTTCTTCCTACCCATCTGAAAAACCTATTAATGCTCCATTAGCCTTCAGTGATGTATATACATTTCGCCATAGGTCTGGTGTACTTTAAGTTTGTGAAAGGTCTGAAGGACTTCATACATTTTACCCAAATTATGGCAGACTCCAGGAACTTGACAAAATGGGTTATTTCCAGTGAATAACCCTGTGAGGTAGTTACAGTATCACCCACGCTGTCTAGAAAGGAGAACAGAGAAAGTGGGGCCAAAATTTTCAGAAATTATCACTAGTTTTGGGTGCCTCCAATTTTTATGTGCCCAATTTGAGGCACCAGATTTTTCAAAGGAGAATTCACCATTCCTACTGACTTAAACTGGAGTTCTGGGTATTCAATTCCTCTGAAAGTTTTAGGCCTTGGGGAACAAAGAGCATTTTTTCACATGTCAAAAACTGTTCTTAATTTTTTAGCTGGACAAACAAATAAAATAAATAAAAAAACTTGGCAGACTTCATGTTCATGTGCTCAGAAGTTTCTCTGGTCTGTAGCTGAAGGTGGGCAGGTGTGGCATGTCTGAGCTAAGGCTAGAGTTGAAACCTTAACTGAACATTTTCTGTTTTCTAGCATTTCTCATTAATCAAATATTATTGTTAAAAGATGTATTTAAAGGGCAATAAAGTTTCAACCTCAACTCTATATTGAAGTTTTACTGGAAATATTATTATTACCACTATTACTACCTTAGACAAGTCACAATCTCTACATACCTTAGTTTGTCCATGTACAAAATGGGAATAAAAATAGTTACCTACCTCCCAGGGGTGCCCATTTATTAAGTCCTTTATAATCTTTTAATGAACGGCTTAATACCGTAGAAGTGCAAATTATTAACAGTAGTAGCAATGGATACTTTTATTCCAAAGAATCCCACAATGTAGTGTTTAAACTTAAACTGATGTTTAGACTATGCTGGGGGATCACTTTACCTCTACAATGCAGACACCTGTGATGTGAAATGTGGTAATTATTCAGCAGCCCTAAACTGCACAGCAACACTACACAGAAATTTTGCATAGGAATGAATAATAATTTATCCAGATAAAATTGCAGGGGGAATTTAGAGTGCCAGAATGTAGTCACCAGAGAAGGATCATGGCTCAGTTGCTCGAGTTCACATCCCTCTTGTATTCTTAGAGAAAGGGAACTTTAATGACTAGAAGTAGTCATGATTTCTGTTTTATGCCTCATCTGATAGAGAGCACCTCTAAACAGCAGAGGGTGCTCTAACACCATGCTGGGACAGTATCGAATTAAGGAAAATGGACTGCAGCACCTGCTTGTTCTTTAGAGGTCTTTTATCCAAGTAGCTTTGTGTAAGAAAGCAAATGGGATGACAGCACAAAGTGATACTGCTGTAGTAATAGTGTTCAGAAACCTTCTGCATACTGTATTTTTGTGACTGAGAGAAATATTGATATGTTATTTAAAGACAAGAGCTTAGTAGGATTAACCATTTATATGGATGATGAGAAGCTCTACAGCTACATTAGATAGGAAAAAATAAAAGTAATGTAAACTCTCATGCTTCAAGGCATAAACCATTTTCTAACTGTCAAGAGTTAGGAAGAAACATCCCCCATGGGTTCATCATGTTGAATTGTCCTCTCTGAGGGTTTCTGCACCTTGCTTTGAGGAATCTGGCACTAGTCACTATCAGAGTCAGGTTGCTGGACTAGATGGACCACTGATCTGGATTCACTATGACAATTCCTATCTCTCTAATGAATATTACGCAAACCCACCTGTTTCTGTCTGCAATTGTTGTCCAGACACTAATTGTGGAGGATTCATGGCCCAGTGCAGTTGTCTACAGAAATCTTGGCGATCATCCACATGAATGTAATCGTATATATTTTGGTGCATTACATCAGTCTGAAATAATTACAATAAACAATGGTTAGGCTGTAAGTTCATTGGCTAGGGGCTGTCATTATCTCTATATCCCCATTAGGTGGATGGTTGGTGGGGATTGGGTCAGAGCTAAGATTGCTTGAGGAACATTATTTCTGAATTTCCTGACTTTCACATGTTTACTTTTTATTTTAAACTACAGTAATGTAGTGAGGATCTTTTTAGCCTTAATTCTTAATTTCCTGACTTTTGTGCATGTGCAAAATATCCATCAATGTTGCATTAAGGTAATTTTTGCATTTATTACAAAAATGCTTGTTCTGAATGTTAAATTGAAGGGATAAATTACAATGATGAGCATTAGGGATATATTCTATATTTGTAACAGTTCATGTCTTTGTTTACCAATGATTCACAATAACAGAATAGCTCAAAATGTCTCCTGGGATGTTACATAGAATACACAATCACTTGAATTCTAAATAAAAATAAAAATATAAAAATAGGAAAATTACAGTACAATATCCTAGTCTGGAATTGCATCATAAATATACCTTTATTCCATTTATACTTTATATCTAGTCAACTGTAAAGGCACATGTCAAAACAGTGTACTGTACATGATTTTAGAGAGCGTATCAAAAGAAATGACAGCAAGGAAGCCATTACAAATTGTACAACATTAAGCATTCTAAATAGTTTAAATATATATTTACCTGATGAAAGCCTAGATAGTCCACAATAGTTGATGATGCATAAAATATCATTCCATCTGAACTCACCACCAAGGCAAAGCCATTCAGTGACTGGGAGAAGGGAGATAAAGCAAAGAATAAAAAAGTCAACAAAAGACAAAATACAAGAAGTAAAATTGGTATGACGTTTATTAACATATTTTCTAAGCTTTTCTTTCCCAGTGTTCAATTATGGAATAACCACATAGCAGAAAGATGGAAACTAAAGTGTTGCTTAGAACAGACATTTATTAATTTTATTTAGCTTTACTAAAATAGAGTCCTATGACCATGAGGTTAACAGGCAGCATCTGTACCCCATTGATTTGTCTGCTACATCATATGGACTAGTTTCTTCTGTCTTTACAGTGAGTAGTTCCATTGATATCTATAGGACTCTGATGTAAAGTTGCTGCTCAGTGCAAGAGGAGCAGACTCTGTGCCTATACAATGATGGGCTAATCAAATATTTATCAAATGCTAAAGAAAAATAACACATGGGTGTATCTTCTCATCTTGATATAGGGGGATCGATTTTCATAACCCAGAATTAAATTCTTGCATATCAACATGAGGCTATAATAGTTTCAAATATAATTAGGCATTTAAATAGCTCAGAAGTTTTGAACATTACATCTGTATTGCCAGAAATATGTAATAGTAGGTTAGTAATAGTAGGATGTTAATTATTTCAGTCCTAAGCCCTTAATACAAAGTCTGATACTAAATTTGTTTCCCCTGCCTATCACAATGTAAAGATATCATTTTAATTCCCCCTCCCCCATACATTGTGGTAGTCACCATAATTTTTCAGCAAGAGCATTCTCCTTCTTAGAATGACATAGTGGATAATGACCTGGAACGTGTTCTCTCTCCTTTTTTTAAACTTATCTTTTTTGGTTACACTTAATACAAAGACTAATTAAAATGTAATAACAATGCAGTTAACCTTTATGATACTTGGGATTACTACTAATTCATATAACTGGAAGGTTAATGACACGAGCAAATTACTTGTCACCCATTTAATTTCAAACGTACTATATTACACTAACTTTTCTGAATATATATTTTTGATACATGTACCTAATACAAAATCCTCTAACCAGAAAAATAACTATTGTGGGTAACACTTTAACTGTAGTACAACTACTATATAACTATATAAATACTATATATATTCTAGAATGTAATCAATTTTTCAAAAACTTTAACAAAATACTGTTGGCATAATTATATAAATAAAATAAGGAATATTTAAAGTAAGAGGACTAAGCAATAGAACTTAATGCACTGATATCATAAACCAATACACAGTAAAGGGGGAAGGGATAGCTCAGTGGTTTGAGCATTAGCCTGCTAAACCCACGGTTATGAGCTCAATCCTTGAGGGGGCCACTTAGGGATCTGGGGCAAAATCAGTACTTGGTCCTGCTAGTGAAGGCAGGGGGCTGGACTTGATGACCTTCCAGTTCTATAAGATAGGTATATCTCCATATATTATATTAAAGAAGACAATATATGTAGAGTAATATTATGTCAGGTAACGTAAGCAACAAGTTCATTTATATCCATATAAAAATAAGAACGGATATAAATGAAGTACATTACACAAACTAACTCTGGTCATACCTAATCTAGATTTGTCTAATTTTGACTGCCTTTCCCTACCCCAGGACCCCCATGACACTTTGTCACCACAGAGGGACTGTATTTCAGAGCTGGATTAACTAATTCCTGCATATGGTGTATATATCAATTGGTAAAAAGCATTGGGATTGTTTGAGATTAAAGTTGTATATATATGATACTGCTACTTTCCTCTTCCCTCAAACTGTTTTTTTATTAAAAACATGAACATTACAGTGGACAGATATATTAATTCTCATGCATTGTGGGGCCACGTTTTCAAGAGCTCAGTTCCCATAAGGGTGAGATTTTTAATAGTGCTCAGCACCCAGCAGTTCCCTTTGTGACATTTATGGCCAGAATTTCAAAAGAGCTCAGCACCAACAGGCTGAGCTCCTCCGAACATTTGTCCCTAATGGTAGGTGCTGAGCACCTTTGAGAAATTTGGACCTGTGTGGCTACTCACCCCAGGGTGAACAATGCCTTAAAGAACCCATGAAGTGTGAAATGGATGGCTAGCGAGAGGTCCAGCAGAAAGACTTTAGGGTAGAGATCCCCAAACTGTGGGTCGCACCTCCCTAAGGGGGCACGGAGGAACATTCTGGGGGACGTGGCAGGCCAAGGCCAGCCCTCATGGGGGGGCGGGGAGGGAGTGCCACCCAGCCCCAACCCCAGCTCTGCTCTGGCCCCGCCCCCAGCCTCGGTGCGGCTCCCGGCCCCCACTGCATCCCAGTTCCAGCTTTGCCCCCAGGCTCGCCCCCAGCCTCAGCCCCTGGCTGCAGCTCTGTTCTCAGCCCCAGACCCACCCCCACCTTAGTCCTCAGCTGAGGCCTCCTTACCCCTGTCTGCATTCCCACCCACCCACCCCGGGAGCCATGGCCTCTCCTCTCCTCCAGGATGAGGAGACAAGGGTAAAGGAGGGTTGCGACCCTGAAAAGTTTGGGGACCACTGCTTTAGGGCCTTGTCTCCATTAGAAAATAGCACTGTTTCAGCAATTGATTTAGCTGAACTGGTGCTGGCCAGGGGTTAGCTGTAAAGCAGACAAGAACAAACTGTGATCAGCATCAGTTTAGCCAACTGGAGTTAATCCCTGCTCAGAACAGGCATTACCTCTGGCTAGCTGAACTGGTGCTGATCACTAGTTTCTCCATGGCTATTCTTCCAGCAAAACCGATGGCAGAAATGGTGCTATTTTCTTCTGCAAACAAGGCTCTAGTCTAGATGCCACATGAATCTTACTTCCTCCCATTTGTGCCTTTCACTGTGCTGAGAGTATCTCTGTGGATGGTATTCTGTCATATCCATTTACAATATCAGATGGAGACAAGAAAGGATTTTTGGCATCTTGTCTCTTTGGATTCTTCTTTGCAGCAATGAAACCACCAGTGATATGATGTCAGGAATTTTATTACATTTTAAACATCTGGTAGGCTCTTTAACTAAAACCTCCAGACTAAAAACCTCCACAAAGGTAAATGGAGCATTTATGTGAGCTCCTTTATGCAGGTGACTATACTCATAATGTGCACACAGCAAAGAACTTCCCAGTCATCAACTATTCATTAGCTGAGATAGCTAGAAATGCTGACCTTGCCAACTGCTTCAAGAAAAACAAGGTAATTTGCCAGTCCACATCTGGGAAAGCATATACTAGACCTAGAATCACTCTGAAACATAGGGCCTGATACTGCAAGGTACCGAGCGCCCTTAATTCCCATTTTTGTTGGCTTCCATGTAAGATGGGGGTATTCAGCCCTTCTAGGTGGTAGTGGACTTACCTTGTAGGAATTTTGTCAAACACTGTTCTTATGGATCAAGAAATTGCTACTCAAATTATTAAGGGATGTTCTGCACCCAATATATTGCCACATCTAGGCCCTGCACCATATTCCACAAGAGACTGAAGTCTGCTTTTAAAATGCAGAACTAATTTTCAACTCACTCCACAGCTGTGAAACATGGAAAAGCTACTGTTAATAATTCAAAGAACTGGAATGACTAAGTGAATGTATGTATGTGTAGGGAGAGGTTAGAGAAGTGTGGGAGGGAAGAGAGGTGAGTGTGTGTGTGTGTGTGTGTGTGTGTGGGTGGGTGTGTGTGTGTGTGTGAGAAAGAGAGAGAGAGACAGACAGACAGGGGGTTGGAGAATGTGAGAGAAAGAGAGATGGGGGGGTTGGAGGAGGTGTTCATGGGAATGGGGGTTGATGTAGTGGGGGGAGATTCAGGAGTGGAGTTCAAGGATGTGTGTATTTGGGTAGAGATGGAACAGAGCAGGGAAGTGCAGGAGATGTGTGGAGAGTTGCTCCTGGTTTTTCTTTTTTGTAACACCTACTTTCTTTTCTGCTTTCTGTGGGGAGACCTTAACTGAGATCTCCTGCTTTCCCAATGTTTAAGCCTGAGGTTTTGAAGCTCCATGTTCTGGAAGAGTAAAGGGAATGGAAGGCACTGTTGTGCAGCAGCAACCCTAATTCCACCTTAGCAAAGTTATTTGTGATTAACTCAAGGCCCATGTTACAAAAAATGTTACATTAGCTGGGAAACCTGTAGCACAATCCACACTAACTAAAAAACCAGCTGAATATGGAGCAAAACTTCAAAACTAAAGTCCAGGTATTTGACTGTTTTTTAAAAATGTTATCTTAAAACACTACTCAGTGAGAAGACATATTATCCACAGCAGAGAGGGCTCAGTACAGATGTACGGGGCAGTGCATTGTTGTGCTACCCCAGGAACAGACCAGGAATCTGCTTTCATTACCTCTTGGTTCCACAGGGGGAGACTGTGATGTTGCACTCCATATGTTTATGGAAATATGTTTATAAGTGTAAATATGATGTAACTGGAATATGCTTTATGCAAAAGGTCTCTTGTAAGGTATCATTACAGAGCTTAGAATCTACCAAGTGTGGTCATCCTATTTGTATAAATGTATCATTCTTGTATCTGAAACTAGAAATATGAAATATAACTCTGAGGTCCTATTGTAATTATGCAAAGTGTGGGCTAGTAATGGTGGTTTGGAATCTTGATGGCTCCCATCAACTAGGACAATTGGTTGTAAATGGCTCTGTTTACTTGCAAGGCTTCCTGTGAGTCAGGCCAGGAAGAATGAAGGCTTGGGGGTCTCACAGAACATGTGACCATGTCACCTGGTACTGGAATCCATCTTAAACCTGGTGCTTTTCTATTCAGAAGGAGGGGTGGGAACCCAGAGAGACAAAAGATTCCCGCCTTGTGCCAAAGCTATATAAGGGGGTGGAACAGAACAAAGGAGGTTCCAGTCATGAGAAATCCCCTAGTTACCACCTGAGCTGGAGCTAACAAGAACTGTACCAGGGGAAAGGATTGGGCCCAGACTAGGAAGGAGTCAAGTCTGTGAAAGAAGCTTATTGGAACATCTCTGAGGGTGAGATTTTACCTGTAATCAGTTTCTTAATGTAT